ATTTGTAGTTTGTTAAGGAACCTCCAGACTGTTCTCCATAGTGGCTGTACCAATTCACATTGCCACCAGCAGTGCAAGAGTGTTCCCTTTTCTCCACACCCTCTCCAGCGTTTATTGTTTCTAGATTTTTTTGATGATGGCCTGAATGTTGTATTTTTTAAATTATTAACATTATACAATATTGCTTAGTTTATAGATCAACTCCTTTTGATTTAATATGACCTTGAAAACAATACTCATTTCAGAATGTAACAGTCTCCAGGCTGAATATAATTCTATTTTCCAAAGACTAATCAGATAGCAATTAGGTTTTGGCAGCATAAGCTTCCAGTGAATGCTCTATAAGTGTACTGTATGTTTATTTTAATGCGGAATCAATCACATACACTGTTAAAACCATCTTCTGGTAATCCTTTATTTAATATATATTAAGTCAATACCACTATAAGGAATTATGGTAAGTGCTATGTAGAATATAAAACTAAGTACAATAGAAAACCCTATTTCTGGTAAATTTCTTTTACATACAAATAATTCGAATGCAGATCATTATGCAGTAAGTGCTACAGAAATGGTACAAATGGTCTTATGTTCATAAGGAAAAGGTTACTTTTATGTGGTGATCAGGAATGGCCTGGAAGAGAGAAGATGCAATGAGGTGGAGCCTTTCAGAAGGGCAAGACTTCAGCCAATGTCAGGAGGGAGAGGCAGTCTAAGGCAAAGTGATAGCATGCCCAAAGATACAGGAGTGGGAGAATGACAGCATGCGTAGGACACAAGGAGTACTTGAATTTGTCTGGCAGAAAGCATGTATACATTCTGGAGGTACAGGTGGTAAGGTCTGAAAAGCTGTGGACAATATTTGCAGAACCTATTTGATGGAACTATAGAGTGTGAACTTCATTTCTTACATCATGGGAGGCCACTGAAGACTTCTGGGAGCGAGGATGCAAATTAAAAAATACTCTAAAAAGATGACTGGTGACAGGGTGTAGCTCAGACCAAAACATGGGAAAAATTAGGAACAGATAGGTTAAAAGACTTTCCCAACAGTTCACCTAAGAAAACCGGGGGATAGTATGAGAAAGAGAAAGGTGGTAATGGAACAGTAGAAAAAAAAGCACAGGACTTGGTGACTGACGTGAGGTACAAAGGCAGAAACATGAAAGACAGATTTGTAGCTTTTGAGACTAGAAGAAGAAAAGTCAGAAGATGAGCTGCTTGGGGGTGGAAGGTGGACTGCTCTGAGACATTAGTACAGACAACATACAGTATTTTAGATTTAACTACAAAAAAAAAATTCTGAAGTTAAAAACAAAACAAATATACCATATGTTTTGATTGGCCACATTTTCTAAACTGTACTTAAATCATGTCTAAATTTTGAGTCATGTTGCTAAAACTTAATTGCTATTTCATTAGCCTTTGGAAAGTAGAATTGTAAAAGCCTGGAGACTGTTATATTTTGAAATGAGTATTGTTTTCAAGGTCATATTAAATCAAAAGTAGTTGATCTATGAACTAAGCAATTTTGTATAATGTGAATAATTTAGAAAATACAACATTTAGAGGAAATTAAGAATTAAATGATTTTTTTTTTTAATTCCAATATTGATAATTTAGGCTTGTTAGAAGAAAGTTTTTTTCTCCTGGAAATTTCTTTCCCTGGCGTGAATGACAGTTGTAGAAAGTAGTTAGGTGATTTGGGCTATCTAGTTTCATAGGTGCTTTATTATCTCTGAATTGTTAAATTTGGGGAAAAAAAGCTCATATCACCAAACTACACTATTTTGTAACTGAATTCCTTAGTATGATACCAATAAAAGTATATATTTTATAAGTATAAAATATACATGTATATATAAATACACAAATTAAAAAGTATATAATATGTGCTTTATACTTACAGATTTTATAGCAGTTACTTTGTTTCTCAGACTTTCCGTGAGTCTCTCATTTTCTTCTTCACAGGCACTATACCCACTATTAGGATAGCCATAGTTCCCATAGTTGCCAGGAGGTACTCCTTCACCTGCAAGGATTAGAGTCACAAGCAGAGTTGCAGCAAAAACTTTTGAAACCTTGACAAGAAAGAACCGAAAAAGACCCCTGGAGGGCGTTGCAGACCACGTATGTCTATTATTCACACTCCAAATGAACTTTAAAAATTAATAACCAGATAGAGATTAGAACAATTCTAATACTCTCTCTTAAGCAAAGAATACTGAATTCAGTTCAAAACACATTTGTTGACTGCATATTGATTGCCCACAAGACACTGAAATAGGCACTGATATATAAGGAGATTCTGGACACATTTCCCGCTCCCTAGAACTACACAGTTTAAAAAAAAAATCTAAAAGTATCATAACATCAACTACCTATGGAAGAAGCTTGGCTATGAAGAGAAAGGCAGAAAGAGGATAATACAGCAGGATGAAGTTCATGGCAGAGGGAGGGTCCTTTACTAGCATCTCTTTCTTTTAAATAGAAAAGAGCTGGAATAACTTGGAGAATATTAGCTGAGATTTAAGAGAGGGACTCATTCATTCTTCAACAAATACTTGAGAAACTCCATGTATCAGATTCATTGTTCTTTCTAGGTGCCCCTTTTTGGAGCTCATCTTCTAGGGAATAGCATTGGGATACAGGACTATAGTCCCAGCCACTGCCTAATGTAGTATTTGATATTCATCAGGCAATCAAACAGGTAGAGTGAGCCTTGAACAGTGAATACATATACTAACATGTTGGAGGATTGAGAGAGGAAAGCATAGCTGACAGTGTTATCTAACCGCATTTTTTTTTTAAACTATTGACAATTTTCTCAGTAAAAAAGAGAAAAGCCTGTCTTTGAAGAATGGTGATCATTTGGGGGAATAAACAGTAAAGAGAATAATGGAGGAAAGTGACTAGGGTTATACAGGATTACTACAGGGATAAAGCAATCCTGCCTGAGGCAATATATTGTAGTGTGATTTTTCTCCAGAAGAACTCATCAGCCTAAGTTAGCCCATGAAACGCTGGATGGTTGGACTGATCAAGAGTTGGAGGTTTACAGTGTTGGGGCTGCTGAAGAACAGAGCCCCAAGAGGATGAGATTCCTTGCAAAAAGACTGGGTGAATATATGGATTATGGGGATTCAACTGGACAAGGACTGAAGTAGTGTTAACAGAGGCCTGAGAATATGGAGGAAAGGGATGATACAGAAACTAAAGGTCTCCATAAACTCAAAGAGTGGATGGAGTGGCAGTGACAGTAATATATGGAAGGGCCGGAAGTAGCAGGCAGCACTGGTTGTTGAAGAAAGGTCAAAGTGTGAATAGAAAGCTCTTTCAAGGCACAGCCAAATCTCACTTTCTCTAAAGAGCAAAACTCTCTCCTTTGAATTCTTACAGCTCTGACTATATGTAACACTAATATCACACTCTAGACTGCACTCCAAGGGCAGAAAGTAAATTTGTTCTGCTCGTGGCTATAGATCCCCCCACAAATATACACACACAGTAAGGCACACCCAGTAAATACTTGTAAATTAACTAATTAATGAACAGAATCTGAATTCACTGTTATTCAACTTTGAATGTGCCTGGCTTTGTCAGCAGTGGGGTCACAGGCTTCTTTGAGGACAGAGGCAGTGAGGCAGTGTCTCAACCTTCTTCTATATCCCCTGTACCTAATAAGTACTTTACACGCAGCAGACACACAATCTCCACCACCACAAAAACCACAACAAAATGCTAAACGAGTATGTTCCTGAGGAGAAGGAGTCGCTTTCCCCAAATTTTCCCTCAACTGCTGACACACTATCCACAAAGCTAAGTGTACCATTATAAAAGTTAAGGACTCAGGTCACTAGACATAATATTTTCCTCCACTCAGTGATTAAAATCATCATTTAAACAATGCATTCTCACCCTATTCATCAATGATACTCTGTACAAACTCTAATAAGGACCAAAATCCTTACAGAAAAGAAAAATGTCTTCATATTTTATGTGACTAAGGTCCTAGATATATAACGTTTGTCCAATAAGTCATTACTGACTGGATGAATTTAACCACTTGACAACCAAGGAATTCATTTCTAAATTAATGGCTATTTGTCTCACTTTCTTTATTGTTATTTTTCCCTATCTTAATTTTGTTTTTAGAGTTCTTCAATACTGTCCCATTTATTAAAAGTGAAATTCTCAGAAGTATTTCAAGGCACATTTCTTCTATTAAAGAGTTAATCTTCCCTCACACCATCATTCACTACCAATATTAATTAATAAATAAATAAAATAAAATGTTAGGAGTTGTTATTCTTTGTGTGACTTAACTGCTATAAAAAGTTGTAGGAAAGCTAATGGGTGCCAAAGATGATCCTCAGACTTTGTCCATTAGACAAATGCTACTTTTGGATAGTTTCTATCAATAACTGAACCAAATCACCGAGAGGGACATGTGAAGTGTGGAAGCTTCTCCACATGAATATCTACTGATTCACGATCCCAGGTTTAAAGTTCCAGGTCAATACAGACTGATCCTTTTAAAAAAAAAAAAAAAAAGCTCTTGTCACATCATGTCACATCACACCAATGTAAATTACAGCAATTGATACATCACCTTTCCTCCTCTCAACTACAGGGGAGCTTAAAAACAAAAAACAAACAAACAAAAAACCACTCTATTCTAGAGATTGTAATTTCATTAGTCTGGGCTAGGGTCCGGGTATCAAAGCCCTAAAAGCTCTCCAGGTGATTCTAATGTACAGTCAGGGCTCAGAACCATCATTTCTCTAGTCCCTTTCCTGCAATTTATCATGGCACACTGCTGCACAAAAACATTCAAAGGGGCCAAAAGACCTACCAATGAGATCCAAATTCCTTGGCCTAGCACTCAAAGGTCTACACAATGTGGTTGGTTCTGGTTCTATGTCTCCTACTTCAACCAAATTGGCTTAATCATAATCCTTTAAAACACATCATTCATAATTCTAGATTCCAGCCCTACAACTATTTCTGGGGGGAAAGGGTCATCCTTCCAACTGGAAATTACCTCTCCTACACTTCATTATTAGCTTTAGTTCAAGTTCCTGTGTCTCCACAAAGTACCAAGTGCTCTATCTGTGAAATCCCCGAGACATTCACTACCTGTAGAACTTATTTGGTATTTGGTTGTATAGCTACCGCCTTGTACTATAATTTATCTTTGTACATATTTCTACTCCTCAACTAGATTGGAAGCTTTGGGGAACACGAGCAGAGCTACAAACGACTGTATACCTAGAGCTTACTCAAGTACACAATAAATGTTTGCTGTCATTAGTAATGATAAAAAGGAAAAACATTTAGGCATATAAAACTAACCTTGTTCAAAATGAGTTATATTTTTTCTCTACAATTTATTTGGCCAACTTTCCTTCTATGATCCAAGTATTCACAAAAACGACATTTTTCAAAAGCTGTTTCTCATACTACAATTTACTAATGAATGTACATGCCTAGAGTTACTGGCAACTTTCACTAACTTTAAACACCTGACACTTGAAAACTTTTTTTTCTTTTTCCATCTTATAAGAACTGAAAAAGGTAACATTATCTTTTTTCAATATTTCATATATTTTCTCAGGTATATTGTACACTGATTTGGCAGGTTTTTTCTTTTTCCCCATTATCTCTTAATAGTTTCAGAACCAGAAAATGCTGTTTTAATGGCTCTGTGTTATAATAGCCCATTATAAGTCCTTGTGCCTAATTTGTTCCTGCTGCTTGGTGAACCTGCTTCCTAAGCTAAAAGGTCAAGAACAAATGCTAAGTCACCAAGAATTACTACATTCTACCGTCTTACCAGTGGAACAAGGCTCAGATAAGAACTGTTCTGGGTAAAACGGCCTTTAACAGTAATGATACGTACGTTTACCTTTGTAACTCACTGTAACCAGGCTAATATGATTATTATTAGTGTGCTCTGCATGCAACACTCACTCTTCAAACTTCGCTTCTGAAGAAACTAACATCAGGTCCAATAAAAAGAAACCGAAGACAGCAATTTCCATAATCACGCTCAGACCGCCAATAACACTAAAAGACTCATCACTGAGTTGGTACCTGTACATACCTCACCTCCAGTCCTCCACTACTCTCTGTAAACCTACCATCCACACCTGGGACTGAACTAAACTTAAGGAACGCCCCAGGATCTCGGACAAATGGTGTGTTTCCACTTGGTATCGCCTCCAAAGACCCCTCTATACACCCTGCTCTCTGGTTCAGATTCCAGAGACATGAAACAGATCTGATTTCCTTCCGCGTCCCCGCGCCCAGCACGGCCAGTTCTAGGGCCCCCGAACTTAGAATCTCAGCCCTCTTCTTACCCAGGCCTGCACGCCTCATCCTGCCAGAGGAGCGGGGGAAAAGGCGGGCGGAGGGGTGGGAAGACGCCAGGGGTCACCCGGACTGCGTCCTCAGTACCGGGGCCCGGCGAAACAGCAACTTCTTCCCCTAAAGCGCCACGACATCAGAGTCGCTAAACGTGGCGCTGGCTGATGGCGTCACCCAAGGCGCTTCTCGGCGCCCTGCGAGGCGGCCGCATGACCGAACTACATTCTGGGAAATGTAGTTCGCCGCCGAGGCCGAGAGTGTGGTAGGGGCGTGGGGATGAACCAGGCTGGAGGAGCGGGCGGGGCTTCCGGAAAAGGGACGCGCGCTGCCCCGGTTCTGACTGCGGGCCTGGGACTATGGATCTCAGCTGCGGCCTGGCTCTTTCTCTCAGCTGTCGGCCCCCGAGTTTAACGCTATACATCTGTCCCTCCCAGACCATGAGAGGATGGTTGACTTCTCTTTCCAGGTGCCGCCTTTCACTTCCTCTCACCTCGATTTAGTTCAGGTAAAGTCAAAGAAAACTTTATCCAAGTTTCTGATCTCACACATAAGTAATCTGAGACCCATAGACGGGAAGGAAGAGTGTAGCCCATCGGTGCCGGGTCACCAGTGGTGTAGGGAAAACCAGGCCCCTTGCACTAGGGCTGCTGCTCGGATTAAAACAGCCGATAAAAGTAACAGGGTCTCTTCGGAAGCACTGAAGACTTCGTTCCCTGTTTCCGAGTTTGTTGCATTTCTAGAAAGAACCGCGGCCATTAGCTGTTAAGGGCTCGAGGGACCCCTCAACTTCCTCCCACTTAGACCTTTTTAACTTACACAAAGGATACTGAAATACAGTTTACACAGGGTAATGTGCCAATTTAAACGGGGTGCTGGCGGGGGTGGAGTGGTACTGGAATCGGGATTAGTCCTAGAATTTCATTTTATCTCACAGGATTATCGTGAGGATTAAATGAGATAACTTTTTATAAAAAGAAGTCTGATACATAGTAGATGCTCAAAAACCACTGGATGCTTGCTTGCTGTTTTGTCGTCGCTGCTGTATAACAGTGGGATAATCGCCATACTATAGACTTCTGAGAATGCAATGTCTGATCATTTAGTGTTCCCTCATAGTGTCTCAGTATGAACATTGACTATAGTAGTGTCAGAGTAAGTCTCTGCTCTAAGGTCGTTTTTGTAAAATACACCCAAAAAAACAATTTTTAATAAAAGTTATTAACCTGGGAAATAAGCTTAATCCAATAGCGTTTTGAGAGGAAAACAGTATTCATAAAAATAAACAACCATTCTCTAAAAACATGAGAATTAAATGAAGATTTTATCAGAAACAATTATTGCAAATAAACACTGACATTTCAATAAGAGAGATAATGGCATTTTATCTTACAATCTGTGACAGTTCTTTTGTAAGAAGTACACGTGTTCTATAAGCAAAACATGTCAGAAAAATCATCTTGCTTAAAGAAGGCTTTCTCATATTAATGTAATTTTTTAAATCTAATGTTGAGTTTACCAAAACATCATTTAAATTACATATGTACTTATCCTTTTATAAACTACTTCCCCTACATGGTAGGGAGATATAATAATAAAATATAAAAGGGATAAAAAATAAAGTAATAAAGGGTACCAAGAATATAACTCAAAACAGGCAAAGCTGGTTTGTATTGAGCTTGTGACCCAAAAATCCAAATAGTTGCTTATCGCTTCTGTTGCCAGTCTCAAGTTAGGATAATCCTAGCTGAGAAGATTTTGCATGCAAAAGATGAAGTGGAAAAGATGCATTTAATACACAGAAAAATAGTTATTCAGTGGGACCACAGTTGACATAGAGACTAGAGAGAGTTCTCTTCACTTTTATCATTTTCTATTTTTCTTTTCCTTTTTAATAAAATCCCTAACTCTTCTTACTGAATGAAGACCAATAAAATTCTTAGAGATGAAGAGTATTTAGAACTTTTTTTCAATTCTCATAGGATAATTTCATAGAAAACATCTAATCTGTGGGGTCTCTAGGAAATGAATGACGAAAAATGACAATTAGTCTTTACTACTATTTCTTGTAGTAATTACAGAAACAAGAATACGAGCAGGAAATGTCTGAATCGTGGTGCAAAATTTGAAACTTTTCTTTTTCAAAACTGGCTAAATCAACATTAACAAAATTTCCAATCATGAAACAAATTCAGTGTATCAAGCATAATATTTGAAGGACATTTTATGTCCTTCTAAGTAAAGAAAAATAAAATTTTAAATTATTGACATGAATTTTACCCTTTAGATTGTTCAGTTTTAAATGCAAGCATGAGAGCATTTAACTCATATGTGAAATCACCAAAATCACACAGTTCGAATTTCATAGCTCACACGTGAGCATGTATAATATTTTGTAGAAACACTGCACAAAACTAATTCAACTGTTTTTATTCCAATCTTGATGTGCGCCAGGTCTTGATAGTGTACCAAAACTTGGTCTTCATCTTATTGGTGAGTTAGGAGGGACTGAAAAGTAAAGTAATTACGGTTGCCCTATCTTTTCCTTTCCTTCGATGTCATCATTTTAAATATAACTGCCTAATACAAGGAAATAAGATGAGTAAGGAAGAATATAAGTTTTCTTGGATGTTTTCTTCTTTCTGCAGAAGAACTTCTGGTTCATGTAGTCTTTCAGGGCTGTCAGTGCCCACACTTATTCAGTCACAGACTTAAAACACTTACCTTGTACTCACTTTGAGTTTTGCAGAACTTCCATGCATTATGTGTCCACTGGAATTCTGTGCTTGTGGAACATCACAAGTGTTACGTGTGAATGGGGTGGCAATGAACAATAAGCATACATATTGCCATCTCCTCTGCTCATATGCATGCTCCACGGTTCCATTAGTTCAAAACAGTGAGTGCAGAGCATTAAACCAGGCAGGATGTTCTTCTAGCCAAGAGACCTATGCAACTGCAAAGATTGCAAACTGGTGAACTTGGCCCTGGGACACAGAGAGAAATCTTCCAAGGTAATGGGGACATAGTTGGTAGAGAAAAAGGAAGAAAGTGAGTGAATACAGAGGATATATATATCGACAGGGAGAGACTGATCAAGGTGAAATAACTGAGAGGTGAAATTCTCAGGGAAACAAGAAAATAGAGCATGCAGGTGCTGCCCCAAGCAGAAGGAAAGAAGAAGGAAGGGAAGAGGTTGTTAGTTGCACCGTTTTCCCAAACCACCTGCCGAGTTGGTCTCAGTAAGTGGTTAATGAACCATAGATGAGTGAAATTCTTGTGACTTGGCATGTATAAGCAGTAGAAAAATTTTTCTCAAGGCAGGCATGATCCCAGAAAACCTGAATGATAGGGTGTGATTGCAGGGATAAGGCTTTTTCTTGTGTTTAACTCCAAGACGTTTCACTCTTCCGGCAATTCAGTTGTATTACTTAGACCTCATTCTGGGAAATGACTCCTTCCTTAATGTCAGTGAATCAGTAGCTTTGATTTTTTTTTTTTCTGAATATCTGGACCCATAGCAGAGCTAAATTTCAAACTGTACTTTGCATAGGCTGCCCTTTTAATATTCCAATTTTAGACAGATTTTTGACATTTATAAAACATTGTTTTAGGTTAAAGATGATACGTTTAATTTCCGTTGCTTAGAAAATATTGGTGTTGTATGTTTTAAAAGGCTCTGCATTATGACTCGATGTTAGAAACCAGAATATCTAACTTACAAACTGTTTTAAAAGGTATTTTTAAATGAACAGTAAAGTTAACAATGAGTAAAGTTGGCATGATGTTATATTTCTTGCAGGACTTTTTGGTTTTTTGCATTTTGGGACAAGTAGGAAGACAGAATTTCAAGGTGGACATCGTGGATTACAATTGCACAAAGTAGAGCCTGGCTTCTTTGTGGAGAGTCCAGATGCAGGTGATTTTGTCCCTCTGGGGCTACGTGGTATCTTCTCTCAGCACCTCTCACCTACTTTACTCTTCTCTTTGAACACTGGATTCCTATAACTGTTCCAGAATGAAAGCCTCGGCCCCATGTCTCTTTGACCTTCCAGTTTGATCCGTGTAGCAAACCGTTTCCCAGTACGAATTTTCTGGAAGAGAATTCCGATTGGTCAAACATGGGTAAGGGGTCCATCCCTGGTTGGTCCAAGCAGCTGATGTTGAGTGATAGGGATTCCAGAACTTTGGGCAGAGCAGAGTCTCTAAATGGACGCAGGGGTAGGGGAAAAGGTTATTTCTTAGTACATTAAAGCATGTATGTGGTTTGAGTCCTTGCATAAAAGCTCTTGACCTCTGCTCTGAGCCATAAACAGATTTCATGCAATAGCTTAGGGCTCTGTGCTCACTCCCATCACTGAGGCCTTTATCACTATCATAAACCGGCCGTGAAAGTTATGGTTAGTTGGTTAGGGCAATGATTTGTATTCCTAACCCAGGTGTGTTTGGCCACGTGCCTTTACTCTTGTTTATTTTATTTTATTGAATTCTCTTTTTTGGGGTTAGAAAACCATTTTCTCTTGGGAGGCAAGGATAAAGACCTGATCTTGTTTGAAGCAGGTCTTTATGGGAGACGCTAGGAATTTGATTTCTTCTCTTGCCCCAGTATTTCCCCCCTGTTAAAAATTCTCTATAAATAGGGCCTCAAGGTCAAAAACATAATTTGAGCAATAACTGTTAGCAAGGAGTTGTGTGGAAATAAGAACTCTTACAGAGAAAATTAGGAAAATTGATTTCATAGGAGCAGGGGAGAGAGAATTTGCCTCACAGCCTCAGCACTCAAACTGTAGTAGAGGGTTGATACAGCACTTCTGGGCGTTTAGCATGCATGCCTATTCTAGGCTAGCATGAATTTTTATAGCTCAATTAGAAAGCTTTGAAAAGATTTAAAAAAGTGTTTTTAAATGATAATGTGTTACATAAATATTCATGGTTATGCAGTCCTCTGAAATCTGGACCACTTAGAACTTTTTTCCATTAAATAATGACCTTCTTTTTTTTTTGCATACAGGTGCCATTCATTAGAGGGACAGTGACCAATGACATCCATTACGCACGGCCATGAATATTTATCTAGTGCCTTATCCCTGTACCAGAGAGAACAGGAAAAGAGTTATGAAGAGGCTTTTCTTTCACACCAGATGACCAGTGTCCTTCCTCAGCTCAACTGAAAAAATTAAGTGGACTGGTCTTCAGGTGAGGCTTCATACCCCACTAATATTCTCCTGGGTGAGGGTTAACTGATGAAAGAAAGTACGTGACAGATTCTAATGCTAGCGGAATAATGGAGTAGTTTGCCAGGGTCTATTGATACAACTCTTTATCTAGAAGGCCTTAAGACAAGCTTAGTTCACAATTTTGCTTAGTATCTGTGTGACTTAAGAGTTACTCACAGGCAGCCCTCTGAAGAATTGTCAGTCTCTATACCAGCACTGTCCTTTCCCCTCTACTCCAAAACCAGCCAAGCTTACGCAGATGACACCACAATTGTAACTCAGTGAATGGATGTGAGAGAATTGGGACAGACAGTGAGTAGCCAGACGTGTCATTTACCCACAGACGTTACTGACATCCTACTCTGTCACTCTAGGCCTGGCCCCTTTATTTCCAGTAACTTATTTCTACCATTCTTTTGAGCATTTCTGTTTGGATATCCTGCCATTATCTCAAACTCAGTCATTATCTTCCCCAAAGCAGTTTGCCTGTCTGATTTTCTACCCTTGTTAATGATATGATTAAGCCTCAAAACCTCTGAGTCACTGTGACCTTTCCCCACTTTGCCAACACCATCAACCCAATGGCCAAGTCCTCTTGAAGTGTCTTTTTGATTTGCCCCTTTCTTTCCATTTCAAAACTAACGATATTATTAAAAGTTTCAAACACGCCAAATCTTGCTGGGGCTTCTTAATTTCCTCGCTTTCAGGTTCACTCCCCTCAAACACACCAGATTAAAATTTCCAGAACTCTAATCTTGCCTTATCACTATTTAATTAAATTAATTAATTTATTTTCTGGTCGCACCACGCAGCTTGTGGGATCTTAGTTCCCCGACCAGGGATTGAACCTGGGCCCCCTGCAGTGGAAGCACGGAGTCATAACCACTGGACCACCTGGGGATTCCCATCTTATCACTATCTAATGGCATTTGATGAATTCTGCAGGATTTATTGCGGGGGGGGGGGGTGAAGAGTTATATTTTCGTTTCCCTGAAGTCATCTGGAGACGCCCCGAAGATGGTGTTTGTGTATGGTGTTCAGTAGTCACAGTTTTGAGGAAAACTTTAGTGGACATCTGAATCTTTCTTGCACTCTAAATTATTAGTGTTTTGTCATTCACATTTATATCTATACTTTAACTGTAATTAGTTTCATGTATGGTATGAGATAGTAATCAAGTTGCATTTTTTTTTCCTGTATGGATACCCAATTTTTCCATTATCATTATTATTAAAAATACTGTTCTTTTCCCATCTCCCCCAGTTCTTTCTCATGAACCAAGTACCTCTACATCTGTTGCCTTTTTATAAGCTCTCTGTTTATTCCATTGGTCTATTCTTTTATCCTTGCTTCAGCAACTCACTCTCTTAAATAGCTTTATAATGACTTAGTAAAACAAGTCCTCCTACAATGCTCTTCTTCGTCGAGAATGTCTTAACTAAGACCCTTTTGTGTTTCCATGTAAGTTTTAGAAAAAGCTTGTCAAGTTTTACTTTTAAAAAAATCCTATTGCTATTTTGACTGGGCTTGCACTGCAGTAGGGGAACAATGATGTCTTTACAACATGGAGTTTTCCAATTCTTAAGCACAATGTATTTCTCTAATTCTATTGGGTTTCCTCAATTTCTCACAATAATGTTCTATAGTTTTCTGTGTAGAGGTCTTGCAAAATTTTTGCTAGATGTATCCCTATGTATTGATATTTTTGATGTTATTATGAATAGTATATTTCTTAAGAATTTCTTCTAACTGTTGCTAGTATATAAAAATTAAATAAAAGTAAATTCTGATAGATTATCCACTGATTCAAGCAAGTTGTCTATAAAAAGTGGATAATTTTATTTCTTCATTTACAATCCCTAATCCTTTTTCTTTTTCTATTTTTTTCTTTATTGCACTGGTTAGGATCTCCAGCACAGTGTTGAACTTATGTCTAAAGTCAAGGTGATAACTTTCAGTATTATAACATTACATATAAATGTTTTCATAGATACTTTTTATAACTACTTTGTCAGATTCAAGAAGTTTATGTTCCTAGTTTGCCGAGACATTTTTTTTAAGAATCATTAATGGTTATAGGATTTTATCATATTCTTTTTCTGAATCTTTTGAGATGATCAGCTTTTAAATTCTTCTTTTAATGTAGTGAATTAAATTAATTTTAAAATGTTAAACCAACTCTGCATTCCCAGAATGAACTCAATTTGATCATGATATAGTATTCTTTTTTCATATACCATTTACTTCAATTTGACAATATTTGTTAAAAATTTATATATCTTTATTCATGAGAGAAACTTGCCTGTAATTTTCCTTTCTTGTAATGACTTGTCAGGTTTTAGAGTCAAGGTTATGCTAGCTTAATTCCTTACATAATTGGAAGAATTCATTGGTGAAGTCATTGGGATCTCATGATTTTTCACCTATTTTCTTGAAAATACTCTTTAGGGGTTACTAATGTATGGGTTCAATACCTGAATCACCTGTGGGTCTGTTTATATTGTCTTTTTTCTCTTTGTTTTTAGTCATAGATCTTGTTTCTCAGCATCTCTATTAACTCTTAATTGAATTGTAGAAAATATGTAATGTCACTTGATAAAATTTTAAATGTTTTTTACTGGGAAAAAAGCACACAAATTCAGCATTTTCCATCTCAGTATATGGTATGATGCATTTTCTGGTTTGTTCAATGCTTTTAAAGAACAAAATGAATTCTGCTTTGAAAAATGGGGCCTAAAGCATCAAAGATTTAGGTAAACAGATGAGAGTCTCAGTAAAAATTATAATGGAATGAGTTAGTATAAAGATAGAGCATGTCTATATATTATACATTTGAAAAGTAAAAGACCCATAAAATTGAAATCTGTACAGGTAAAATAAAACTGTTCTCAAACTGATGCACCACAAGTTTGTGAACTGGTTCTGTTACAAAAAGAATGGAGTGAAATTAGCAAGCTTTGCTTAAACTTTTAAAATCTAAATATAATAGAAATCCAGACCTTAAAAATGTATTTATTTTCTCTACCTTATGGTGAGTCTAACAGTTCTTTTAGAGACTAATTATGAAATGTTTCAAATAAATACAAAATAAAAAAACCTCTTTCATGAATATCCTTAAGGCAAAAGCATAGAGCAAAAGTAGTTATTTTTTTTCCTATATGCCCCAAAGGATTTAGTTCACTTTTATAGAACATAGTTTTTATGTTTATCTAAACACCCAGCTATTTTAAGCTGTATTTGACATGCATGGATACTCTTAATTTCTGTGTGTGTCAGAGAAGGGGGCAGGATTCTATTTCAGACCAGAGAATTTGTATTGATGCCACTAATGAACTTAAATTTTAAATTGGACCCTTACTTTTTGCACACACACTCACACAATTTAATTTTAATATGCTGTCCACAAGCTGAAATACAATAGGATTGCAATACCATGATAGAAAGGGTGCATGCTCTTTTTGCTGCACCCTCCATTTCCAGAATCTCACATTATATTTCTTAAAAACCCATTTTGCTCAAGAAATAAAGTTTATTTACCAAGATATAATTAGAAACTAATTTTTTTTCAAAAACACCTTCTACAAGCAGACTTATTCTCTTCTTATTTGTTGGAAGTAGGAAAAGTTTTAGCTTCTGTGGCTTTTTCCCTCTAGATTTTTTTCTAAAAAATTTAAATGGACGGTATTTGTAGAACGTAACAAAAATAAGTTTTTTGAAACTAAAAATGTGATTTAAAAACAAGGAAGTTAGCACATTTAGTGTTAAGAACAGAGAGCAAGTATGGAGCATGGAAAATTGAGAAGTAGAATGTATTTTTGCCCCCAGTTCTATAGCAACATTAAAATAAAGGAATGGGACTATATTTTCATATCAAATACCTAAACCAATTGCTTGTTTTACAATTTGTTTTTAAATGGCAATAATAAATTCTTCGTTTGTAAAAATTCCAGTTTATAACCGGAGCCAAGTCAAACGTGAACCACCAACTATTCTAGAATTGTAGGATCTCCGTGGCCCACAGGAGATAAAAAGGAAGAAAGAAAACCTTTTTTCTAACAATCCACAGAGGCTGCTTAACTCATGGCAGGACAAGCAAATCATGTCCTCTGAATGAATGAATGAATGAATAAATAAATAAATAAAAGCAACCTTACATCTCCAAAGCAGTTAGCCAGCATTCTTTCAGTGAAACCAAAAGATAAGGGAGGAGAAGGGGAAGTAGTGAATCATTCCGGGTTCCCTGTAACCAGTTTATCACTCTGGTCATAAACAGGTGCAGAGAGCTATCAAGTGGAATTACCAGATATTATTTTTTTAGGAGATTTAATTTCATTCTGGTAGGCAGTTATATCTGGTTAAGCTATTTTATTTTTGATCTGCCCTTACTTTTGGAGCATAGCTCCTTCAGGCTCTCATTCCTCCTGGGCCTGAGCCATTCCTCCCTGGTAAACTCAAAATTCAGTCCTCCTGGAACCATCCAATCACTGCGTCCTTTGCTTAAAGGCTTAGCCTTTTAGAAGCTGCTTTCCGCATGGTTTCTCAAAGCCTCTCACAAGACTTGCACTGGTTCGGGGTCAGCAAATGCATTGAGGGTAGGTTATCTATAGAAGAGCGGGCTTCCTTTTCTGCAGTCCCCTCTTTTTCTGGGATCTCGATCCTTCAAGTCCTGGTTGTCTTGGAGGCTCTGAACTTCATTTCTATCTCCCCAGCCCAACGAGAAGAGTGTTGCGAGCTCTGGGTTACCACTTTCTGCTCAGTCTCCATGCTCCTATGCAATGAATCAGAAAGTAATTTGCAAAGAAAAAGAATGTTTGATTTAATTTCATAAAACTTAAAAACTTCTGCTTGTCAAAACGGTCCAAGTTGTATCAGAAATTGTATCTGTTTCCTAAATTTTGTTCATCCTTCCTAGAGTATACAGTTGTAGATGGGAAGTAACAGCCCAGCCAGGGACTAAATTTCCCCATCCCATCTGCCACT